TACAATAGCGACGATTATTATTTTAAAAAATTTTTGTTAGGCTTAACATCGATGAAAATTCAACGCAAAATAGGTTAATAGCGATATACTAATATACTAATTACATGGGATATAATAATATACTACACTAATAATGGATTTTTTCATACTTTTCGGTTATCCGACTTTTCAATTATCCGACCAACCCCAGTCCCCAATTGAGTCAGATAATTGAGGCTCTACTGTATTAAAGTGTAACTTTAGGTCATTTAGTGTAAAATTCATTCCTTTGTTGTGGGAGGATTTTTTTTTGATTTTGGTTTAGTTAGATCATTTTTTAAAGCTAGTGAGTGATACAACTCTGTATTGAGGAAGAAACTATCAACAATTTTCAAAATGAAATATAAAACTGTATTTAATTAGCTATTTCTTTAATTGAAATTATTGTGAACTTACACAATTTAGTATTTGATATCTATTCATTACATTCCATGTAATGAATATGTAATTCGATAGTTTAGTATTTGATGTTTATTCATTACATTCCATGTAATGAATAAACATCAAATACTAAACTATCGAATAAATACATATATTTCCTTTACACATGTGTCTATTGTATTTGAATGTGAATATTAAAAAACATATTTTGCTAATTTTAATGAAATATTAAGGTGCATATTCTTAGTATGATTCTAAGAGTTTAAAAGTCCTGTAATCTAGTGTTAAAACTATGAATTGCAATGTAAAATCACACATTTAGTACTTCAGATAAAAGTTTTTTTATTTAACCCTTAACTGGTTTTATGGGGGCCGCACTGCCCCACGCGCCATATCTTTACGAATTTTTAAAAATCTAAGCATTGTGCGCAGCTGCCATTTTATGTAATCTCATTCCGTCGTGCCTCGCTTGGGGTGCCAAACATTCGGCGTTTTAGCACTTACCAGNTAACCCTTAACTGGTTTTATGGGGGCCGCACTGCCCCACGCGCCATATCTTTACGAATTTTTAAAAATCTAAGCATTGTGCGCAGCTGCCATTTTATCTTTAAACATCTTTAAAAAGAGAATTAGAGAGCTGTCCGTCTTTTAAGCGACGGACTTAGCCCTTGGAAGTAGGAAAGAAGAGAAAGCATGAGGTTTGAAGTGTGAAAAGAAAGGAAGATAGGAAAGTGTGAAAGAAGGCATGAGACCCAGAGAGCGCCCTGCACCGGGCATTTATTAAGTCCTTAAAAATTTTTTACAACAAATCCAGATGCAACTGGCAAGTGATTACAAATTTGATGGTCCCGACAAAATAATAAAAATAAACTTAAAGTAACAACAAAACAAATTTGAAAACCAAAATTGATTATATACAATATATACAATTCGACCAGAACCTATGGCCGAAGCATGAAGGATAAAACCTGCAAGTGGTCAAGCCACTTAAAGATGTGCAGCGATCCACCCCGCTTGAGTGGTAAAAAGGACAATATAAAAATTTTTCCCGGAATACAGTCAGACAGTCCGCAGCGGAGTCGTGGCCAATCCTGCCCCTTGTCGATGCCGCAGCCAGGTGCATTGCCTTGGGCACCGACGGCATCGGGGCTTAATCCCATTTAAGACGGAAAGGATTGGCCACTGAACCCCCGCTAGACCTACCTCATCCCTTTGATGAATCTCTGCAGTTCCTGTATGTAAACAGGACAGACCTTGTCTAGTGTATTATGTCCTGTGTCCGAAAATTTCCTTTTTGTGCAGTAGCTGCCATTTTATGTAATCTCATTCCGTCGTGCCTCGCTTGGGGTGCCAAACATTCGGCGTTTTAGCACTTACCAGGATGGAGCTACGTACCTTCTGGGGGCTGCACGGCCCCCACGATACCAGTTACGTTGGTTTTTTTTGTGAATATGTGTTTTTATGTTTTTTTTTATTTTTACAATTATTTTGCAAAGATATCACACACTTGCATCAAAAATTCAAAATGACTACCAAAGCATCATTTGAACTGCTAATAGATGATAATATTATACAAATTGCTAGATCAAGCCAAAAACTCCTAAAATAAGTATGTTGTCATTTTGTGCTAAAAAAAATGGAAAATATGCTACTAAGTGCAACAGTTGTTTCAAATTTGTTTGTAAAGTGCATAGTACTGCAAAAATACTATGTGATAACTATCAAGACTGAACTACGTATTTCGTTAAAATGTTCCTGAGTCTTAAAAGTAGAAGTGATTATATTACCTGTGGTTTTTTAACAAATGATAGTTAGAGACTATAAGAGTTACTATTTTGAAAGACTAGCTTCTTAAGAATAAAAAAAAAAAATATTTTTGTTAAAACCTTACAATAGAGTAGATTTTTGTATTTTTGAAAAAAGCAAACACCAAAAGTTGTAACAATTTTGTGATATCTTGTAATAATTAAGTAAAAAAAATTATATGAATATATAGGAGTTGATTATACTAAACAAGAGTTCCATTTAGCATTTATGCACTTTCAAACTGTCACGTTGTTCAAACTTGCTCTCTAGAGGCAAATTTTGCTTGGGGGCTGTGCAGCCCCCACCATACCAGTTATGATTGTAAAATTTACAAAACCAGTTAAGGGTTAATATTTATGGGAAAAATTCATTCACAAGTATTCATTAATAATTGTAAGGATGGTAAAAACAGAATTATTTTTGAGGTTTGATTATACAGTTTAACTATCATTAAATAAAATAGAACAGACTGTTAAGGTTAAGGCATCACTTTGGGGTCTGAGATCAGATCTGGGCAATTGTAAAACCACAGAAATTTTTCAGGGGTTGTCTGTCCTGGTTATGTTTGGCTCCTTCCATCACCATTGTAGTTGGCTTCATTATAGGCAGGGCTGAATCCATGATTAAAAGACCCTCTGTGTTTACAGAGTAAGAATAATTTAAAATATTTATATATCTGTTAATGGCTAATATTATTAACTAATTTCAATGAATAACAGATTTAAAACTATTTGGATTATTCTCAGTATTTTTTCTAATAATTTGAGTAAATTTTTTAAAACTACAGTAAGACCCCACTTAACATTGCCTCAATTAATGCTGATTCAATATAACATGGTCTGCTCAAAGCCTTAAAAAAAAAAAAGCTCAAAATTTACATTGATTTAAATTATCGTCACATTTCACTGATTTGTATATATGATTATTCCCAAACACAAACCAATCAGCAAAAGGTGTCAATTCATTGTTTTTTTTTATCTATGTTTGTTTGGTGTAATTTTGGAAAAAATACATCATCATGGATACAATAGGCAATATTGACTTTGCTTGGCAATACTTAACTTATAAATGCATTAATGAAGTGTGGAAGAAGTTATGGCTGAAGGTATCCAAGAATTCTCAACGAGAAGGGCCTATTGCTGTATCATTAGGTTGACCAAACTCAACCTAATCAATATAGCAGGACTAGGAAATGTAAACAAACAGCTAAACACCAACCAAATGCCAAAATTCTATCGGGCTAGTTTAAGGCTAATTACTAAATGAATTACGTAACCAATTTGGCTCTAGAGGTAAGCGTTAGGCGCCATCTCTTATTAACATTAATTTATTTATAATTATTAATGTTAATAAGAGATGGCGCCTAACGCTTACCTCTAGAACCAAATTGGTTACGTAATTCATTTAGTAATTAGCCTTAAACTAGCCCGATAGAATTTTGGCATTTGGTTGGTGTTTAGCTATATTATATATTGGGTTTAGCAATGTTTGTAAACAAACAGGATATTGAGGAGTTACAACATGTTTCTGGAGAGAGGCTTACCAACAACGACCTTAAAGAACTGGCAGAACAAGGAATTCATGTAGAACTGGAAAATAGTGATTCTGAAAATAAAGAAACCAAAGAATTTCTCTACAGATTTCTTCAGTTAAAGTTTGTAACGATAACCAAAATCATTGATCAAATTGTAGCGAATGATCCAGATTTTGAAAGGAGTGCAAAAGCAAGACGAGGCATTTTGGATGCCATCTCCTGCTACCGACATTTGCTTAAGGAAAAAGTGAAAAATGAAACTAGACGATTTCATTGAAAAGAAAAAAAAAATCAAAAATTTCAGATCCAGGACCTTCATCACAAAAAATGAACTTTACATTTCTGTGTGCATATGTTTGTATGTTATTTAATATATACTATTGTGCAAATNGTTAAGGTTTGTAACGATAACCAAAATCATTGATCAAATTGTAGCGAATGATCCAGATTTTGAAAGGAGTGCAAAAGCAAGACGAGGCATTTTGGATGCCATCTCCTGCTACCGACATTTGCTTAAGGAAAAAGTGAAAAATGAAACTAGACGATTTCATTGAAAAGAAAAAAAAAATCAAAAATTTCAGATCCAGGACCTTCATCACAAAAAATGAACTTTACATTTCTGTGTGCATATGTTTGTATGTTATTTAATATAATATATTATTATGCTAATTAATATAAAAATAACTTAAAATTAAAGTAAAATCTGTTTATTTTTGCTCACATGTTCCACTTTCCCTATTTACTCTATGTTAAATTGACCACATTTAACACTGTTTTGTTCAGTGCTTTGTCGTCTATTAACACATCCCCACATTAAGCGGGATCTTACTATATTTACAAAATTGAATATTGTAATAAGCTTTTAAGATTTTCTTAAATTAAATAAACTCAACAAACATGACAAAACAGATTATTATTATTTTAAAATTTAAATCAGTCAATATTAAAATAGACTAATCATAACAAAACAAAGCAAAAAATTGACAACTTACATTCATCTAAACCTCTTGTATCACAGTTTGGACAGAACCATTCACCAACAGGAATATTCTCCAATGGAGGGTCCAAACATTCACAGTGATAGCCTAAGTCACAACTGTCACACAAAAGAAGACGATCTTCTTGGTTGCATTGTCCACACACTTCACAATATGTTAAATCACTTTCATCGTCGTCATCTTGTTGCTCTAACCATGAGTTCATTGATTTCCAGCCATTAGCTGGGATCTAAATTTGAAAATATTTCAATTTAATACAGAAGCTCTTGTTATATCGAGCTTTTGCTTTGTCTCCTGAAAAGTGCAATATAACAGAGTACTAAAAATTTGGTGTTTTTACTAATCAGATTATACATGTAAGAATGAATATTTTATCTTTGTTAAAAGTTGTTCTTATATTTATTGTATATTTATTAAACGTAAATAACCATTCGTCATGTTAGTTTTACTATTTTTACTTAGATTATACATGTTATGGAATCTCTATCCTCTATATTCTTTCATCAGCAAGTGTTTCTGATATAAAATAAACTTAGTTTTTCAATACTGAATTTTATTCATGGTTATATCATATTAATTGACATTTACATAAACATTAATACCACCACAAATGCCCAATTAGCATTATTGTTTCTTTAACAATGACATTTAAAGATTAATACTGTCAATATAAAAACAAAATATCGGTTATGATTTTATTATGTATTTCATAATAAATCACTCATTAAAAATTCCTGTAATTTATATTTTTCAATAAAAATTATAAATACAGTAATTGAAAATTTAAAAAATAAATATTGAACATATAATAAAACATCAAAAATTATAAAATTAGAGAGTAAAAATTCTCTAAAAAAAGCAAAATAAAGTTACTACTGTATAAAAATTTTAGACCTTTCCATTCAGAAATAAAGAAATCTTTTCCTTACAGGTTAAACAGTTAATTCAAAATTTCACACTTTTATGTGCATAAAGGTGCGAAATTTGAAATTCACAGAAACTTGTAAATGAGGAGACAGTACTTAAAATCAATAAATAAACAACTTTTAATATCAAAAGGAAACATAAATGATAATTGATCTGCCCAACAGTTTTGCTTATTTATCTCTTAATGAATTTATTGTTTCACCTGCAGTGATAGTTTCTATCATGAAATATGGTATTTTATTCTTATCATTAACATTGAAACAATGTTAATGATAAGAATAAAATACCATATTTCATTGCAAATTTCAATGGCAATTGTAATTTAAAATTTATTGACTTGAATGCTCTTAAAATTTGGGAACAAAAAAAAAAAAACAGCATGATATAATGAGACACGATATAATGAGGTCTACTGTATTAAGAGTTTTATTATAATACAAATAAAAAAAATGTTACTAGATGATTATTAAATGTATTTACTTTTGATCTAGTTAATTTTTGAAAAATTAAGTAGGTCAAAAGTAAATACATCTATAGTAGAACGTCGTTTATCCGAAAGCTGGTTATCTGAAACGTCTGTTATCCGAAAGCATTCCAGTCGGCAAATTTAAATTTTCACTAGTGCTGTGGCGCTGCAATCTTCGGCTATTTCTCGGGCTACTCAAATATTTTACGCTTTTGATACTAAATTAACATCTGAAGTATAATTTTTTATTGTTTTTATGTTTTTCAATAAATTGATTTTGTTTGTACAAAATAAAAAAATAATTTTTAACGATACAATAGTCTTCGTTAGGCTTAACATCGACGAAAATTCAACGTGAAACGACACACAATGGAGAGAAATTTCAACATGGGATAAATTAATATATTTTTTCGTACATGATTCGTTATCTGAAAAATAAGTTATCCGAACCACCCTAGTCCCCAATTGATTCGGATAAACGATGCTCTACTGTAATAATCATCTATAATCTATTATTTAATACAGTAGGTACATAGAACTGATATACACAATATTTTATATATAAAAGATTCACAAAAAGCTAAATATATTAAATATCACAATTTTTAATATTCTTCATCCACAAAAATATTAAGTTTTAAATATATCATATTATAATAATTTTTAAATACATTAATAATAATATACAGTACCTACAGTTATAAATATTTATAATGAAAAATTAAACAGAACTAACCCTTCGAACAATAGTTCCTTGCAATTTTTCTCTCACAAGAATTAACATGAAAGGTAACCTATCCACTGGACAAGTATTTACTTTCTGTAAAAAAAATTTTAAAAAACATTGTATTGATTTTTCATTTAAAAAAATAAATTATTAATAAAGTTTATTTGATAATTATAATGGAATTTCACAAACTGAAAACTTACTATAAATCTTATAATAAATACTTAGATCATAATGGCAAATGGAACTGGAAATCAATTTCTCAAGTTTTCCAGAGAAAAAAGTTATTTTTTACCATGACATATCACAAGATGTAATGTAACCAATTAAATTGTTGAATAATGATTGTCTGTGTTGTTGTTTAAGTAGGCTTACCATATGTCCTGCTTTTATAGCGTGTCAGTTTGTCATTTTGTCCTGGTTATTTGGTAAAATTTTAAAAGTGCTGAATATACTGAATATACAAGAAATAAAAATGGCAATTTGGTAACTAAAATATCCCTTCTGTTACATTCACTGTTGCCAATCTAAATACTTTGTATCTAGATCTAAATACTTTTAATGTTGTCTAGATGTTTTCCTCCAAAGTTTATAGCATGTGGCCTAATGAATTTAAATGTCTTATTTTTTCATCCAGATATTTTTCCACAGAATTTATAATATCATGTAGTCTATGTTTTGTATTTGACCAAACAAGTGGTTTGGTCCTCACCAGTGCATCTACATATTTATTGTAAATACGTTATAATGTTCTCTATTTATATTTGTACAAACTGTATTAGTCATTATTTGTTGTCACCTGTGTTACATGCATCTTATATATAATTTGTACATATGTTTTCTGTTTTGTATTTAATAAACTACCAATGCAGTGCCCTATGATCCTATCATCACCCTGCCCTCCTTTTCATCACTTGTCTTGTTCTCTCTTCCTCTTCTTTCACCACCTTTACAATCTCCTGGTCGTACCTTTGAGTGGAACCAGGAGGTAGCCCCTTCTTTCAACTAGTATAGTATAGTATAGTCTATGAGATTCAAATACAATGGGTGATCAGTTAACGAACATAATCCGTTCCAAGACTTTGTTCACTATCCGAATTGTTTGTTAACTGATTATTGATTTACCATAGGTTTCTATGGGAATTTGATTAATTCGTTCTGGAGACCCCCCCCAAAAATAAAACAATATATACTTTCTTACTATGTTTATTCATATGTAATAATAAAAATACATATATACACGGTCTTGCATTTTTATTAGTCATGTTTTTTTCTGTTTGTGGGGTTAAAGAATCTGTCCAATGTCGATTGCTTTTCTGTCTTCATGATTTTTCAGAAGTAATTAATAGCATTGTAATTGTATAGATCCCTAGGCCTATTAACCTCAACCTGGTTTGGATGTCATTTTAAAACCATTGTTCTGACATCCTCCACTTCTTCAAAAGATCTTTAATAGCAGATATCGGCATAAATCCGCATTTTCAGAAGAAAACGTAAAAGAATTGTTTCTGTCAGAAATATTACAAGGACTGGAATTACAAGGGAGTGTTTCAAAGTTCAGGGAAATACTATCCGATCAGTATATACTGGGTAGAAAGTCGATGTCGACGTCTCCCGCGCTCCGAAAATTTTCGAATTGTTGCCTGAAGACAAAGAAAGACCAATCAGTATTTGTTATTTTACGTCGCTCCTTCTTGTGTTTGTTCAGTCAAGTGTTCGTTATCCGAACATGTGTTCATTGTCCGATCATAAAAATATTTCGCAAAAGTGTTCATTATCCGATCACCCACTGTATTTTTATTTCATGTTTTTAGATATTTTGTTTCAATTACAGTTGGCAACACTGAAACTTTCTGGCCATGTCATTATTGTGCATGTCCTATCTTAGTCAAGTTCAAATTGCTAGTCAGCATTTGTGATTATTTTGTACTTTACATTAAATTAATTTAATCTCCAAAATGCCAAAAAGAAACTTTGTGTTTACTGATGAATTAAAAACGGATTATCCATTTTTGAAAAAGTTTATGATTGTATTGACAAAGTGAAATGTGCTTTTCAGAATTTCAGTAACTCATGGTGGGCATTCGGACATTAATCACTTGAAATGTGCAAAACATTAGACAAGCCTAGTAGCAGTGGAACTTCCTCAAATATATTGTCATATTTTAAAGGTACCAATTTATTTTCTGTTGTGAGTATTTTCTCAAAATTGTCACAGTTTGAGAAAAAATATATTATGGTAGACTATGTTTAAGCAATGTAAATTTTAGTTAAAAATAAATTTTTTTCTTGAATTTATACTTACAAATACATCTAATTCTGTTTTTACATGACAGATTGGTTCCTGGAAAATACGTATTAAAAAATATATATATATATTGGATATATGTTAAATTAGAAGGTTGTTTATAGACCTAAAAACTCAACGAAAATAATAAAATAAACCATATGAAAAGTCTTGTTAGAATCTTATTATTATTTTTTTGCATGTTATCAAATTTTATTTCATATACATTGCATTGCACATGAATAAAAATGATATATAAAAACATAGATTTCATTTGGAAAAAAAAAAAAATGTAAAGAATTAATGAACATAAAAATTGAGCAGAATATGTGAGTTATACACAAGATTTTATTTGCTTTCTGACAATAAATGCATACATTTACACATGAATGTAATATCACTGCTATTTCTAAAAATGCTTTGGTTATTATGTTCTTTGTCCACAGATGTTCTTTCTGTGAAATCCTGAACATTAGCAGTAATGTCCTATAGTGCTGATGTAACAATAGTTTTATGAACAAATTCAGTTATTCCATACCATACGAATGGCTGAGTTCATATTGTGGCTAGGCCTTTATATAACTCTATAAGATGACATTAATAATTTCAGACCACATTGAAACTTTCAACCTTATTCCTCATTAGGATCACACTTAACAAATTATTATTATTTTTTAATTGTGTTAAATCAAAATCATTTAAAAAAAGTTTGTGTAAAAACAGAATTAGGTATATTTGAGAATCAATCAGGTAACTAAATTATTCGTTGCTTAGTAATTTTTACAAATTGCATTTTAAATCATATCTAGTTGATCAGAAAATACTTAAATAGTTTATGTTTTATAGAATGAAACATATGCATCACACACCTATATTATACTGTAAATGAAAAATTGGAACTTAACTTCCTTTCTGTCCATATCAATAAAAATGAAATTTATAAAAGTTATAACAAAACAGACAATGTCCTATGCATTGGGTAGCAGGCTGCTCAGCATATATGTCATGCCAGAAGAAGTATGCTTCCTTGCATATTTAATTAATATGTATTCTGGAAAGTGTACTTGCAGTGTTGACTATCAAAGACAAAACTAAAACTGTTATTTATTTTTACAAAATATTTTGTTTTTTATTTTTTAGGAAATTTTTCAACCTGACTATGTGACCTTGTAGGTCATGACAGGTAACTCATGCACTTTTGATTGAACATGATTGTTTTTCTAGTGTTATGAATGACTTTGCTGAGAAAGATCTATCTTAATTTGGAAAGTAACTCACATCAAAAGGACAATTTAATATGAAAAATAGACATTGGAAACACCCTGCAGTTATTGCAATCCAATAAAAAATTCAGTTTAGTCGTGTGGGCAAGAAAAAGTTTATTGTAAATTTTGGCTTGCATCTCCATTGTTAATTACTAAAAAGTTACCAAAAACTGGAACTAAGAATATTACATAAAGAGAATAACACCAATGCATTTTGTAAATCAAACATTTGTAAAATGCAGTGTATAAGATCTGAAGTAGGTCTATCAAGAAGGCTGAAAATGTTTTTTTTTGAAATTAAATACTGCTGGAATTTAATGCATGGATTCTTCATTCCATTTAGTATTCCTAGTTCTAGTTTTTTGTAACTTTATACTAATTAACAATAGAAATGCCAGTCAAAACTTACAAGAAATTCATCCTTGCTCTCATAAGAATGAAGGTTAAACTGAACTTATTGAAATGTAAGAACTGCAGGGTGTACCCAATGTCCATTTTGTTTATTAAACCTGACAAGGAGAGCCTATGGCTTTGGGGTAACGGATTTTGATGATCTTTGGTGTAGAGGTAGTACACCATGTGAGTGTACTACCTGTAAAATACTAAAGTCAATACTCAAATATAATCAAGAAAATNGAGTACTGTGGCGACCAATTTCGCACTTCGTCCGATCGCCACCAGAGGGAGTTCGGAGGTTTTAAAAGGCCGATTCGAACACGTGCCTTCGTCCTTTTGTCGACTCCTCGTCTAGAGTACGGACTCCTATTCAATTGTGCTACCTGAACTCTTTTGTTGACAACTAGTCGCCACATATCTAAACCAGAAAGTGTTAGCTAGAAATAGACTTATGTATAGAACAATCCCCATTTCTCACTTCAGGGAAAGTTATAAAACAGTTGGGTGCTAATGACTTTGTGAAAGGGAAAAGTTCTACACTTAGAAACTTGGAAAGAAGGGATTTGGCCTGTACCGTCCGGTGGGCCGCATAAACATTGATAAGGGGCCGTATGTGGCCCGCAGGCCGCAGGTTGTGCACCCCTGGTAAAGGTAAGTTAAACATTTAGAGCTTTGAGAACCTTATTTAAATGAACAAATTATCTTTAAGAACTTGTGGAGAACTGTGCATGTCTTGTATGGATTGACTGTTAATTTATCTCAAACAGCATTCTCCAAGCTGTAAAGATTGAATTAGTTTCTTTGAAGTTAACTGCTATTCCCCTACTAAAGGCCCTGTAGATCTCAATCTTTTCTAGATGTTTCAATTATTGTAGGTTTGCCATTTGGTGTAAGAGGCTTACTTTGTATAGGTTTACTTTCACATCTTTATCTAACACGTAAGTGGCAAGTGCTGTGGTGACAAGGCACTTCTTAATGGTGTATTTGTGTTCTCTGATTCCACAGGTCTGCAAGTAAAAAACTGCATAGGATTTTTATACATTTTCTTACAGATTTCAACTTGGTAAAAATGAAAAAAATACCGAAAAAATTCCATCTCGTCAATTTTTTTTGTTACACTCAAGTTGTTTGTATTTAGTGTAAAATTTCTAGTTAACTTAATATTTGATATCTGATTACAAAAATTTAGTGACTTTTGTTCAAAGCCTAATAGATAACTGATAACACAGGTCTACAAGTAAAAAACTGCATAGGATTTTTATACATTTTCTTATAGATTTCAACTTGGTAAAAACGAAAAAAATACCGAAAAAATTCCATCTTGTCAATTTTTTTTGTTACACTCAAGTTGTTTGTATTTAGTGTAAAATTTCTAGTTAACTTAAAATTTAGTATTTTGTATTTTTTTATTTAAAAAATGGCCTTAAAACAAAGATTTCTTACATTAATTCTATGAATTATAGCTGGACTTTGTAATAAATAAATAAAAATGTTAGTGGTTGAAGAGAGTAGTGGTAGGGGGAGGTGGGTTAAGTAGTTTTAGTGTTAGAGGAAGGTCACATGATCATATAGAAACAGGTTAAAAATTGATAGTGAGTAATATTATTGGTGAGGTTGAGCATGTTTTGACATGTTATCTGGGATACTAGGAATAAATATAAATAATCTGCTGTTGGATTAGATCATGTTTCAACAAGCTAAATAAGTTCAGTATCTCACTGGCCATCTAATGCCACACTCAGTTTATATCCAGCATTCGAATGCTACTGTGCTTGTATTTTTTTCTTTAATATGGCTCGCACAGGTTGTGTAATTTCTCCCGACAGCTTCTGTTATGCTTGTGGTGAATACACAGTGAAAAGTCAACAAAGAAACATAAGTGAGTTTGTGAAGAAATATTTCAAATTGAAACTTGGAGATAAAGACAAAGCAGATTATTGGAAGCAATGGGAGAAAAGGAAAAAGAAGCATGAGACTCTTTCAAGAATGTAGTGCATAAGTTTTTGGGGAATACTAAGGACTCTGACTACAAAACCATTGTACAATGCATGCTGGCAGCAGCATATGAAGCTCAAGGATGCAAGATGAGCTTAAAAGTTCATTTCTTACATTCTCATATTGACTATTTTCCCAAAAACTTGGGAGCCTACATTGGAGAACAGGGTGAAAGATTTCACCAGGATGTCAATATGTTAGCTAACTACTGTGGATGTTCAATTGAGAAACCAGAGAAAGAAATTGGAAACGAGTTTGGAGAAGCATCAAAAAGAAGAAGAAAAGGTTTCATAAGAAAAAAGAGTAGACCAAAAATTGTGTATAAATATCAGAAACAATTTGTTGATTAGTTGTAAGAAAATATAATATATTTAGTTCATTGTAATAAATAAGAGTTTTTATCAAAAATTTGTTTCTATTTTGCAAAAAAAAAACCTTTACATGATGGAATGTAATGGAAGTTATTTTTAGAATCTGCGATCTTTAAAACATATAATTCAGCAAAAATATTCCATGCAGCTGAAAAAAATTTTTTTTGCAGACCTATGTTCTTCATGGAGGCTTCTAATAGTAGCTCCTATATATTCAAGGCTGCATTGTTGTTTACTATTCCATTCTATGGAATTAAACCTGAAGATGTCCATTATAAACAGGTGAAAACATTAGTGTGCAGTAAAATTTTCTACATTTTACTGGATTTTGGTGTTGGTGAGTGTTAATTTTGAATAATCAGTTGTTTGAAGATTATTTTTGTTCATATAACATATTGGTTATTACTTAATGCTGCAGATTGTGTAGTATTTTAGTGAGGGTTGTAATTTTTCTATGGTATATTGATGGCAGCTATGATGCACACTTAGTATTGTGAATTTTACAGCATGTTACATCAGTGTTGCTAGATGCATTTAACAACGTATTTTACTGTTATTTGTTAAATTATTAGTCAGAAAATATATACAGTGGTACCTCAGGATACGAAATTAATCCGTTCCGAAACTGAGATCGTATCATGAAAATGTCGTAAGGTGGATCATCTTTTCCCATACGATTATATGTAAATCCAAATAATTCGTTCAACGCGAAAAACATACTTAAATTAAAGCCAAGTAATACATTAAAAAAAATAACTGTAGTAAGAAAAACAAATGAAAAATGCGAACTAATGTAACGTCGTATGGTGAGTTTTTGTTCGTATCGTGGAGCAAAAATATGTTCGAATTTCATGTCGTATCCTGAAAATTTCGTATGCTGGGGCGTTCGTAACCTGAGGTACCACTGTAATCTAATATTTTATTCTTGAATTTTCATTAAACTCATGTCAAGTATTTTATTAATGATGTAATTAGTAAACAATAATCTTTTGATTGTACATGACAATGTTTTTTTTCTTCAGAGCAAAAGCAAAATCTTATAAGATTCTGTTTTTGTTCTAAGTATAGTCTTACTAGTAATAATAACGATCAACTGCAGATCGGAGTTAACTAAACAACACATACCTCAGAAAAAACCTTTAACCGATGCAAAATAAAATTTAACACTACAAACATTTTCAGAACCCTCTTGGGTCCTTCTTCAGGTAAAAAATCATTTGAAACGTTACTAAATATGAAAAAACATTCGTTTGGAATGATTTTTTAAAATCGGAACAATAGAATGGAATCACTTGATCAATAGCTCCGAATGTCAAAGCTTCTATGTCATATCGACAGTTATTTAAATATTTTCCCTTTTTTAAAGATTTTTGTTGTTAAGCATAAAAACATATCACATAAACACAGACTACCCCTTTACTTCCCTTCTTTTAGGTTTATGATTCACTTAATCCTCCTGCTGTTTTAGGGCCTGCCAAGCCAAAGAAAGGGAGATCTCATCTCTGGAATTAATGGGTGACGAAGTGCTGTATGCCCTGTATATCTCTATCTGCTCCAACCTCTAAGGAGGAAAGAATGCCGGGAGTATACAGAGTATCACTTAGAGTTTTGGCAGGGACTTGATTTACATAGGCTCAACGAAACGTGCTGTTGGGATCAGGTTGAAAGAACACATGTGGGACATTCAACATAATAAATTTTCCACTTCCTTATCCACTTATGCATCTGATCCAGAGATAGTAGCAGACTTTTCATGCTAAGTTAATTATGACCTCCTCATATTTAGACCATCTCAAATGGTTGGAGCAGATAGAGATATACAGGGCATACAGCACTTCGTCACCCTTTAATTCCAGAGATGAGATCTCTCTTTCTTTGGCATGGCAGGCCCTAAAACAGCAGGAGGATTAAGTATCCTCCTGCTGTTTTAGGCTGAATCGTAAACCTAAAAGAAGGGAAGTAAAGGGGTAGTCTGTGTTTATGTGATATGTTTTTATGCTTAACAACAAAAATCTTTAAAAAAGGGAAAATATTTAAATAACTGTCGATATGACATAGAAGCTTTGACATTCGGAGCTATTGATCAAGTGATTCCATTCTATCGTTCCGATTTTAAAAAATCATTCCAAACGAATGTTTTTTCGTATTTAGTAACGTTTCAAATGATTTACCTGAAGAAGGACCCAGGAGGGGTCTGAAAATGTTTGTAGTGTTAAATGTTATTTTGCATCAGTTAAAGCTTTTTTCTGAGGTACGTGTTGTTTAAATATAATCTTATCTCTCTCATAATATTAAAGGCATTTAACCCTTCCTGTTGGCCTAGTTCAATTTCATGTGTTACGGGGTGTTTTCACCAATGTTTTTTAGTATATTTAATACTTAGTTCTGAAATACTTTCCATAGAAATATGTGCTTAATAAATAAAAAATATCTAAGTTATTTATCAAATAGGACAGGTAAAATATCAGTAACCAGTATGAGAAATTGGGATAAATAATACATTCATACCTGTATTAAAGATTGCAAACTTATGCTGTCTAAATTCGAAGTTTTGTTCAGGCTGCATAAGATACAGATTATATAATCCATATGTTACCGCTAAAGCTCGAAACTCGTTAATCTGCAGATTACCTAGCTAATCTGCAGATTAACTAGCGTGATCCGTTAAAGTTGTGAAAATTGTTCCATTTCTCAAATTACCTAGATAATGTGCAGAGTATCTAGGTAATCCGCACATTACCTACTAGGCATTCGGTAAAGTGAAAATAAGATCTTTGCCACAAATAAATGTACCACAAATAGGTGTGCTTGTCGCAGAAACCAATTGCTATGAAATTCAAAGTGTCACCAATTTTTAGACTGCACAATTGGATAATGTTACCTATGGTGAGTAAAATGG